GTGCTGCACTGCTGCGCCCTGCTGGCGCCCAACCAGGACACCGCCTTCATGTTCAGCATCATGTGGTCGACCGTGCAGCTGCTGATGAGCAACTTCTTCATCACGTTCCACGACCTGCGCTTTCAGTGGCTCGCCTTCCTCAAATGGTTCAGCGCCCTCTACTACTCATTCGAGGGCCTCGCGCGCGTCGAGTTCGGGGGCGCTGCCTTCGACTGCTCCAGGGGCATCGACGCGTCGGGCGTCACGTTCCTGAAGCAGCTGCTGCCGCACAGCCGGTTCCTCGACATGAGCAGCGTCACGGCGGCGCTGATGCACCCGGGGGACGACTGCGTGGCGGACACGGACGCGCTGCTGCGCTTTTACAGGTTCGAGCGGTCGTTCAAGGACACGGCGATTACGCTGTCCGCCTACTACGCGTGCACCCACGTCTGCACGTTTTTGATCATGCTGATGGTCGGGCGCAGGGAGCGCCGGTAGCGGCCCGCCTCGCCCGCTGCCGCGCGGCCGGGCGGGGCGCGTGCACGCGCGGCCGCGGGGCGGGCGGCGGCGACTGCAGATGTGTGCAGCGCGGAGGGCGGCCCAGGCAGGGTGGTGGGTGCTGTCTGGGTGCGCGGTGCTTCGGGATGCGTGCTCGATGGCTTCTCAATCAGAGTGCCGCAAAACCTGCGGTCGGTCAACCGCCAGCTGCTGGCTTGCTCCATCCCCCCTTCCGTGTGTTTGTCCAAAGCCCAGTGGCACCCGTGCAGCCTGCTGCGTGCGGCAGTCTGCGGTGGTGCAGGGTTGCGAGCCGCTGCGGGCCTCGCTGTGGTCCTGTCCGACAGCCCGAATGCCCCAGCAACAACGCACTGCTCTAACCAAGAGCCTTGGTTTGTCTGTTGCGCCCACTCGTCCGCTTGTTGCGGTGTGCTCAAGAGCTTTTTGAATCTCCTCAACGAAACATCTTGCAGCTGGGTGCCCTTTGTGATGGTTGCGACAATGAATGGCTTGTCAGCACTGCCCATTGTACGATTCAATTCAATCGACAGTCAGACAGCCGCGGTTGGCGAGGCATGCGCCCGCCCCGTGCTGCTGGCGGCCCTCACGTTTTGATGTGTTTTCACCAGCCCCCTGTTATATGCATCGGCGTCATGCTGATACAGAACAAGCATCCATGTTGACTTTTACGGATTAAGGCTGCTGCAAAACATGCCCTCGCTCGCTCGCTGCACAAGGCGCTGGGCGCGCGCCAGCCCCTTGCCTCGCGTGCCCCAGCTTTAGTCCAATGGGCGGCGCGCCTGCTGCCCAACGCCTACCTGCCACAGGCTGCTGCAATCCACATCCAGTAGTGCGTGCCCGGCTGGGCGAAGGCTGCCCTGCGTCAGGAGTGTAATACGTACTGAAGCGCTACAACGGCAGGGGGCTGCCCTTCAGACGAGCGGTGGGAGGGGATAATCAGAAACGGAGCTGGCGGGCGGGGGCATCATGTCACTCATCACCAGCGACTACTAACAGGGATGTACAGCTCTCATGTGTGACACCTGCAGCACATGCACGTGCACTACACCTGCAATTCATGCCATGCACATGCGCGCACACACACACGCATGTACGCGCGCGCACACACACACACACACACACACACACACACGCGCGCGCGCGCGCGCAGGCAGGCAGGCACGCATTTGTGGGTGTGTGTGTGTGCGGGGGTGCGTGCGTATGCCGCCTTGCTGCTGTGTACGGCGGCTGACACGCCCAGACTTACCGTAGCACCGCATTCTGTGCAGAGCGACATGACCTGTTGTGACCACCGCAACCGCCGCTGTTTTGAACAGAGTTTGC